TTTTCATTTTAAGATTAGTAAAAGGGTTTTACTAAAACGAATCATTGTGAGAAATCCCTACGTCCCAAATAGCTGAGGATCTAATTGAATACATATACACATTTATATAAGGTTTCATTAAAGATAAATATGAAGTAAAACTGTCTAAATTTTATACTTGTTTTATTTTTAACATCGGAAAATGACTTGAGCAAGTTAAACAATAAATTATATAAATTTCAATAGTTTAACCCTTATAAATTTGGACATGAATGAGAATAGTTCGAAAAATTGGTGGACCACACTGCCTTAAACCTCCTCACATTACTGTTATTATTATGATGTATTGATGGTATATCTACTCACAGTGATGGGATAGTACTCTGCAACTTTTGCTCTATAAAGATCCCTTGTAAACTTAGGATTCAGGTCGTCACTGTCTTGCACTTTCACGATGAGGTGTGTATTGGTACTCCTCCTCGGTGTACCGCCGTCCTGAAGAAACAACCAACATTATTATACTTATACATATGTTTATTTTAAAATATATATATCAATTTTTTATTGGTGGATTGAAAATATCTAATCCGTGTTATATACTCCTTTTTATCGAATTATTAACATCCGCCTGAAACTTCGTAAATAGTTTCATCTTATCGTAGAGTTACGGAATGGACTTAATCCGTAACAACTATTAATATTAACTATTATTTAATTTAATAATTTAAATCATTCATTGGCCTTTATCAAAGCCCTAGATAGCCAGGTCAAGCTATCTCTGATAGCTTAGAAATAGTTATCTAGAATGTACCGACTGGACAGAAGACACTTATCAAGACTTAGGGAACAATAACCCTTTTCAGCAAAAGAGCACTTTCTCACAGACTTCATATCAATTCTAAAAGATAAGGATATCAATTCTTAATAGTTATAACTTCATTCACACGCTTCCTAGACCGACCAGAATTGATTCATCCCCCCTACTATCCCTGAGCATATAACCCTATGATCCTCACACCAAAATCACTCATACAGTACCATTCTTGAGTCAGACTCTTCACTGTAGGAGACCTGGAGTGAACTGATGTAGTCAACTCATATATCTATATTATATTACTTATATTATATTTTAGATGCCATTTGTAACATTATGAATAAACCCATTATTTATAAAGTCTGCACTGTCTCCGATTCGTTAACTGTAGCCTACAACTATTTTATTTACGAAACTCTTGGAATTGGGGCGTTTTCAATCTGGAGAGGGGTGAAATTTGTCTATTTAATTAAGTACCTAAAACTCGTAAATACCCATTTGCTTTCTACTTTGATTGTATGATAATTTGATCACAAAATAGAGAAAAAAGGTGGCCTTCAAAATTATTGAGCCGTTTGACGTGATCTACACCACAAAATTTCAAAATAACGAGGTTATATAAGACAAACGGCACAATATTTTTGTAGGCCTCCTTTTTTATCGATTTTATAATCAATTTATCTTACGATCAAAGTAGAAAGCAAATGGGTATTTACGAGATCTAATTAAATAGTTTGCCTTTCTCCATAAAATAGTAAATAAAATAGTACTAGTACAATAGTAGGTTACGATGATATGAAACTATTTAGGAAGTATCAGGCGGATATTAATAATTCTATAAAAAGGAGTCTGTACCACGAACTAATCTTTTTTTATCAATATCGTCAGCAAAAGTTATTAATTTAAAAATAGGATATATTGTTATTAATTAAGTATTTGACTTAGATCACTCACAGAAAAAAATCTGGACAAATGAAAAGAAAAAAAATAATTTTTTTTGGGAGGGGGAGAGGAAAGATTCAGCCCGAAGTTCCATCCTTAGATTCGCAAGTGGACTGAAGAAAAAAAAAATTGACAATTACCATCTTTCTTTTTTTAAAACAGTGTTTTCCTATATTACAAATGTTTGCTAGTTTTAAAACTTAATTTCAGTATTATTCAAACAAATCAACAATTAAATATGATATATCTAATAATATATTTTTCAACCTTTTCTTTAATATCGTATCTCTTAACATATCAATGTTACAGAAGGTAATACATATTTCAGAATGGATAATTAAAAGTGATGCAAAACAATCAAAATTATTTACATATTGTAATAATAAATTTATTTATTACTTTTATGAAATAACTAAAATAAATTTTATGAAAAATATGTTGGAGTAATTAATCTAGGATATAGATCTGGCTAAAAAGAATGTGCCTGCTTTACTCACAGTAGAATAGTAGGCTAAAGAAAGTGAACTAGAATCTATGCATAAAGAGATCTAGCGCTTTGTATTTATATGTTAGTATGATTAATTTTTTTGCATGATTATTATAATGATAAATAGCAAATATTATCAATAATTTTTTTTTTTTAAAGGTCCTTACATACTCTTACTAGGATAGAAATGATCAGGGTTATTTCATTGGCTACTTACCTTATTGTTAGTTTTCAGATCCAAATTTATATCGTGCTGCCTTCACGATAAATAATTTTTTAAATGTATGATTACTTTTTACCTGTACCTGAACAACCCATGAAGAGTATTGGGTTTAGTATTTTGTAAGGAAGTAATGTTTCTTGGTCAACGCTTGTGCTAGGAGGTGATTTGACCATGATCATGCTCAATTGTCAGGTTTTTCCCATGAAAAATTAATTAAATGAAGGGTAAACACTTAATAGAGTCTTTGTGTGCTCTCTAGTTGGGTGTGCTCCCTAGGAGGGTCTCGAAACCCCAGGGTCGATCCATGGCCAATGGAATAGAATAAATAATTGGTAATTGGTTGACTGTCGTGGATAATGAAGAGAAGAATAGAATAAATAATTTATTTACCATCAGCCGGATTCGAACTTGGAATCTTGAGCAATTTCAGCGACCTACCATTTCTTTTCTCATATCAATATAGATTATTCACATTTTAATAAGCATATTTTTCTTTTCTTTTTTTTTTGTTAGCAAGCTGTTTAAATTACTTTGTTGTTGGCAATAAAATTAAACCGAAATTATAACAAAACAAAAAAACAAGAAACCAACACAAATATTCATTGCCCAATTCTTTGAAAAAACAAATAAAAAATACAAGAAAAATCAAGACAACTTTTCACAAACAAACAAAATGAACATTAGCACCTGCTACAAAATCACATACATATCTGAACTTACGAACAAAATTAAGGACGTGTTTAAAAATTATGACTTACCAGAAATCAAACTTAAGCAAAACAATAATAAAAACAGCCTAAGCAAATACATTATCAACACAAAAGATAAAATAGATAAGCAAATGAAATTTAGAAATTGAACTGCCAAAACAGCCCTAAAATTTACATTGGTGTAACATCAAAACAACTAAAAAACAGAATTTCATAGCATATTTACAATTGCAAAAACACAAAAAACATTAACTCCACATCATTAGCATACCACAGTATAAAACTACAACACAATTTCAATTTTAATAAACCACAGATAATAGGAAGTGAGCCAAAAAATAACTAAAGAAAATTACTCGAAGCCATCCACATCACAAAAAAAAAAAAAAAAAAAAAAAAAAAAAAAAAAAAAAAAAAAAAAAAAAAAAAAAAAACCAATAGCATAACAGTAAATTACAAAACAGATACTAATTTAGGAATACATTATTCAGATATTTTAAACAAAATTAAAATATAGTAAAAATAAAATACTGCAATGTAACTAACATACATATATTTATTTTTTTGTTCTTCCCCTTCATCATCTTTTAGGCTATATGGGGGTTTTCCCTGGCCGGGAGTGAGGACGGATGTTAATCCCAAGTTTAAAGAACCCATTGGCACCGGGATTTGAACTCGTAATTATTTTGTGGTTTATAACGGTGCGGTGCACACACAAATATAAACAGAAAAATAGGAAATAATCAGATACAATGGTCAATAATGGACTACAAGTAGCTAGCAGACACCCAATAATTAGTCTCATATGTGTGATGCTCCAGATATTGTTTTCATATATTGTACAAAACACATGAGGTTTTAGGTAAATATAGAAAATATTGACAGGTATTGAGACATATTCATTTTAATTAAACTCTTTTCTAGCTATTAATTGCTTTTGAAAGATGAGAATAAAATTCTGAAGATGGGAATAGTATCCTAACGTATCAGCAAATAAACTACTTGTTATAAATTTGGAAGTTTTTATTGGCAACAACAAAGTAAAGTATAATACATATATATACAGATATTTTATAGTAAAACATGCAGTCGAAGAACTTGACCTAATTAAGAATTATTTCATTTAAAAAAAATAAATGTAATAAAATTAGTATAAAATTGATTTCATCTTTTCATGGCAAAGAAACAATCTCCAAGAGGAGGAAGAAGCAGTCGCAGCTATTTCATAGACCACCAGCTTCGTTAATGGCGAAGGTTACCGAACTTTAAATAATCTTTTTCCGCCAAAAGGATGTACTGGTTGACAAACTGTTTTTACAACGGCATTCAAAAGTTCTGTTATTTTTTTCCCTTTAGCATCGTTAGCATAGATAATTACTCACTCGCAATTAAGATGCAAATAAAGGTCAAGAATAACGAAGATTTATGATTATAATTGTTCACTTATTTACGTCATTTAAGTAAAATCCATTTTGATAAGAATGATCATCTATTCTGAGAAATGCTTTTATGGAAGTGTAAGATTTACATAAAAAAGTCAGTCGCTGACTGTAGCCTCCCCATGTAAGTTGAAACTACTATTATATTTTTTTCCTCAACATATATAAAATATATACTTTTACATATAGATATACAAGAAAATTTCGAAATAATTTTTCGGTATATGAATAAATTTGTAAATCATATCGTAGGCCTAGAGCAAAAACAAAAAGCGAGTTTCAATTTAGAGCCGCATGAGCTCACCCTCGGGCTGCTTACTAACCACAGTCGAACAATATTTCAATACTCACCGATGCGGTAACAGTCAGGTTGAAGACGGTGTCCCCGCTGTCGTAGTCCAGCGACTTCTTGAGGACGAGGGCGGGCCTCTGACCTGTCATCTCCAGGGAAAACCTCCCGTCGGGGTTGCCAGCCGTGAGGGTGTAGATCAGCTCCGAGTTGGGAGTGTTGGGCTTGTCCATGTCAACGGCCTGCACGCCTCGGAAGACTGTGAGACCTAAAAGTGGAAAATAGGTTACTTCAGTGAGAAAGAATATAATATTCCAGAGGTTTTAACTAAATTCAATAGTTTAAATTGATCCAAGGACTTATATATAACTTTGTACTAACTTAACTATTTTGGTTCGTTTTAAAATATTTACGATTAATATAGACACTTAACAAACGACTTTCCTCTCTTTTTTCTAAATCTTCATCACTAAAACTAAAACAGAAACTGAATACATATACATACTTACTTAACCCATATGGACGTACTCATCACAAATATACGGTATCGCTAAAAAGACCCACCTACATAAACTTCAAACGTTCCAACAAAATTATTGCGACTCATAACAAAAGTACCTTGGTACGTGACTAACAAAGCTCTACATACTGACCTCCACTTTTCAACAGTTGACCAACATATAACGTTCTTTTATCAACGATTTTACACAAATTTAAATGGACATAATAACAGACTTATAAGAGACATGGCCACAGCTGACATACCTCAGAACATGAGGAGGAGACTAAAAAGGCGTTGGATGAGGGATCTCCTTCCTTAGACAACCTAAGTAATTGGAACAAGTAAGGGAAAAGGTACTGCTGAGTACTTGCCTTCCCCATGCCTGTCATGTTATTATATCATGTATCGCCGCCACATTTGCTGATTGTTAACAATAAGTTGACAGGCGCAAATATATTCTTGATAGACAAAAAAAAAATTATATATATAAACAGCTAGATCACAGACTGGTTCGCGAAAATCAAACCTATTAATCTATGAAACCGATAAACTATTTAAGTAGTAGACACCTTTCAACTAATGCTAGGAATGAATAGTTATTTATACCAAAGTATAACTTATAAGCCAGTGATTCTCAATATTGTACCTGGAGCACAATTTTCGGTTTATTGAAAAAAAAAAACATTAACTACATTTTAGACGATTGAAAAATACAGTAAGCTCACAAAAAAAAAAAAAAAAAAAAAAAAAAATGGTCCGTCAAATATTTTAAGAACCTTATTTTTAGTTTCACTATACATAGCAAGGGAAAGTATTGCGATCGTGAAAAAAATCTAATCTAAGTTTTCAACAGAAATATAAATTTTGAAAGCCATTGAGTCCAAATAACCAAGTCCCACAAAATAGTCTGTGAGTGTGGATATGTGAACAGCCTTGCTCGAGAATGAAAAGTCGCATGAGACTGTTAGTAGGTCTGTAAGATGGGTAAATGTCTGGGATGTTACAGCAGCTTTTTCCTTAAAATCGGCTCACAGTAGAAGCCATTTTTTATTCTCAATTTTACGCATTTTTCTCGAGAACATCCCTAATGATTTTTATAATACTCAATATATTAATGTGTAATAACTGGTCTTTAATATCAGCCAGGTCTTATCCTCAGTGATGTCGTCTAACAGAACTTTAATGCTCAATGTCCAAAATAGCTATAATTTGGTTCATTTTAAATAATTAACTATCTCCCATCGTTAGTAGTAATAACACACACATATCAATCCACTACTGACGAAATCCCGTTTGAAAGTTATGACCGCCGAAAAAAAAAAAAAAAATGTAATAATATAATAAGGCTAACTAAAGGTGGAAAAAAGAAAAAGGTTTTTCTTGGGTTGGAAATGAAGTTCGAGAATAATAGTCAGTATTTATATATTTAACAACTTTAAATTCGATAATATAATATAATATAAATAATTAGGTATATATCGTCGATTTATTAAAAAATCATTAAATAATATTCATGAAAATAAATTAGTTAATATTTTGATGATTTTTTTCTCTGTGAAATCTCTTCATCCACTCATAATTAGAGTGACCTATCGACGTTTTATTGAAAAGCTAATTATTTAATTTTGGTAAATATTACAAGGGGAAAATATAAGGCATTAAATCCATGTAATAAGTGATAGAAATTTCATTTGTTTAATTTTTACTATGTAGTACAATTCTTATTTATTCATAGTTGAATATATATGTACTTACAAATCTATCATTGTAGATAAAGCTCAGAAACAAGAGTTATATGGTTCAAATAGATTGATTTATTATTTTTTTAGGAGTTATGGGTTTTTTATTAACCACCGTCAATATTATAACAAGGTTCAGTTCCATTAACTAAATTCGTCAAAAACTTTTTGTAATAGTCCCAATATGTCTGATAATGATTCCTGTCAAAAGTACAGCGGGAAGTGAAAGTTGTACGACGCGTTTACCAGATTTTTGTTTTCGAACTCGTCTTTGATTGCACCAGATTCGTATAGAAATTCAAAATCAAATTCACATTAGATCATCAACATAGAGACTTCAGATTATAATTGTATGGAATCAGACATAGTTGAGACTGCTAAGGTACGTGTACCCAGTATGGCACCGTATCCAGTAAGGTACCACTGATGGACAGCAAGGCCTTCCCTGGAAAGGGGGCACTGGCACGGCATACCTCTGCGCCTCTATTTCCTGGGGGGCGGTCACCTCGATATTGTCTTCACCGTTTCAGACTACTTGACAGCTGGCTGCGATCTGCCGGCTAGGTAGGAGCTACCAATGCATTTTATTGATAAGTAGTTGATTGAGCTATACTGGCATAAAGAAAATATAAAATAATATGTTTATGAATAAGTATTAAATCCGTCCGATCCAGGAATATACCTCGATCGACTTTTGACTAATGGAATAGATTCTGGAGCAAAGAAACAATGGAAAATTCCAAAACATGGAGGAGAAAGACTACTAAAAAACTGCTTACACGGACTTGACAGTCTACATCTTATGATGTCAAGAGGAGGTTGCTGCACATCTGTATACATCATGGAGAGTAGTATGTATACCAAAATAGGTAAACCTGGAACAAACTTTTTTAGATGGCCAAAAATCTACAAGGTCTGCAAAGCCAAAAATAAAATAAATTCATGACATCCTATTTTGTTTATAATGACAAAATGATGTTTCATATAAAAAATTCTATAGTAATATTTAATGTTTTTTTTTATGCAGAGGGAGGATAAACCTGTGTTTTGAAAGATAACTCACTAAATTTTAAAAAGAGATATTTCTCAAATAATTTTTTTAATTATCTCAATCGAAGATGGTTCCGCATTTCATCGCTCTCAAATGTGTTTTGACCGTGTATATTTATGTTGAGTAATTTTTTTCTTGAAACTATTTGTGTTTTATTGATTAACTCTGGACTGCATCGCTGCTCCCTGGATATTCATCCGTACTGTTCAATAGCTTAGGTTTACAGAAGTTCCTTGTTATTACGTTTTTAGACACAAGAATTTTCGATTAAAGAAACTACGCTGTTCTAAGAAAAAACATAAAAGTGGGAACGAAAATGGAAAAATTCCCATAAGGTGACGAAAAAGAAATAGAAAAACTGTTAAAAATTCTTTCCTTAATGGATTATTTGAATTTACCTTTGCACTTTGTTCCTATTATCTATTCTTTCTTCTTATATGGATTGTTTGTTTTTATAGTTGGTTTTATTTTTGTTTAGTATATTCGTATAAAACACAAAGAGATTAATAAGTCTAGTGAAACCAACAAACAAACATATAAGAAGAAAGAATAGGTAATAGGAACAAAGTGCAAAGGTAAATTCAAATAATCCATTGAGCAAACAGTTTTTCTGTTTCTTTTTAGTCATCTTGGAGGATTGTTTCCCATTTTCGTTTCCATTTATAACTTTTTTTCTTAGAGCAGCGTAGTTACTATATTCGAAAAGTTTTATGTATAAAAACATAATAACAATAACAAGAAACTTTTGTAAACTATTGAACAGTATGGATGAATATTCAGGGTGGAGCAGTACATTCCAGAGTTAATCAATAAATCACAAATAGTTTCAAGAAAAAAATTACTCAACATAAATATACACGGTCAAAACACACTTGAGAGCGATGAAATGCGGAACCATCTTCGATTGAGATAATTGTTTGAGAAATATCTCTTTTTAAAATTTAGTGAGTTATCTTTCAAAACACAGGTTTATCCTCCCTCTGCATAAAAAAAACATTAAATATTACTATAGAATTTTTTACATGAAACATCACTTTGTCATTATAAACAAAATAATATGTCATGAATTTCATTTATTAAATTTTTTTTACTTTACAGATCTTGTAGATCTTTGCCCATCTAAAAAAGTTTGCTCCAGTTTTGTCTATTTTGGGATACTACTCTCCATGTTGCGGTATACAGCTGTGCAGCAAACCCCTCTGTACAAGTCCGTGTAAGCAGTTTTTTATTAGTCTTTCTCCTCCATGTTTTGGAATTTTCATTCCTGATCCGTGCCATTCTCGTGCGGTTTTGACTTTCCTCTCTCTCGAATCCTTCTGTTCTTTTTTCTAGATTGCTGATTATAATCCAGGTCACGTAGGCACATATCAGCACTGGCTTGATTTTAAGAGATTTGATTACCCTTGTAAGAGATAATAATGCACTGTTTGTGCTTTTTATATGATAGTCTATCTGAGCAAGTTGGTCAACTTTATAGTTTTTTTATTTCATTGCTTATGTAAAACAGTAAAATAAATGCGAAGTGATAAGCAAATTATTTAAGAAAAATAATAATGATAGTTACCGGTGGGGGTGAGTTCATCAACGTTGACCTCGTAGGGGGCGTCGATGAAGACTGGGTCGTGATCATTGACATCTTCCACGTAAACAGTCGCAGACAGGTAGGCCTTCGTCTAAAAAAAAAAAAAAAAAAAAAAAAAAAAAAAAAATGAGTTAACTATCACAGATTAATTATTTCTATTATCAGGCTTTAATGGCATATAATTAAAGAAGAAGGAAGACAAAAAATTGCAGTATTTCTTATTCTGTGTAAACATTTAACATAATTATTGTGAAACTAGCAAATATAATATTGAACTTTGAAAATAAATTTATATATTTGTTTGGTAGTTTTTTATGTGCATATGGATATACTTGAAAATATCTTAAGAAAAAAATTGAATTTATAACAATTTGTATATTTCTATTAAACATTGAAGGAAGGGCCTTTATAACGTAGGTACATTTCTATAACTTTTGCAGCTAAAAATGAATAATGTTAAAAAACTGAAAAATATTTTTGATTTCTTAGTTTGCACACACAACCTTAAAATAAAAGTACAACATTTTCACAGCCTAACCAGTTATGTAAAAATGTGCATAAAAATATTCTTTATGAAATAAATTTATACTTAGGCTTATTAAATATATTTTTTTCAAATTTTTAAGAAAAACACGTGTAAATGGAGGTGTACGCATGAGAGGTGAATGAATCATAAAATCCTACGAAATGTTTCTATATAATCATCCCAAAATATAATTGAAAATTTAAATAACAGGGATATTTAGCTCGTGATAAAATAGTTAGGTACCTACTTATATTCCTTAGCCTAGCCAGCTAGTCGAATTTTCTTTTAATTTACATATCTTATTCATTCATGTATCATTTTTGTTACCAATTTTAATTTTTGTTCGACTTCAATTTATTGATGGATGGGGGAGAGGGAGAACGATATTCATGCTCCTCATTATTTTCATTGGGAGGGGAAGGCGTGTTGACGATCGGCCCCTCTCTCCCTGTAGTCTGCTCCTATGGAGATTTTATATATTCCATAAAAGAAATGCAAAAATCCATAGGAAGAAAAAAGAAAACTAAAGAAGATAAAGTAAATTGTGCTTGACTTTCTTGCAATGCTTGCCATGCTGTTTAGTCAGCCTGCTTATTGCCAGTGACCCAGCGATGCAAAGGGGCTTAGATCAATTTAATGTTCTATTTAATAATTAACCTTTTTATTAAAGAAAAAAATAACCAATTTTATCAACATCGCCTTGATAGGTTACGTCGAAGTGTGTTGCTTTGTATTTTAGTGGATAAATTAATAAATTGACCAAAAATTGGTTCATTGATGGCCTCAGAAATCTATCAAAACGTTCCTTTAATTATCGATTGAATCATTGATAGCTCAGCGGTTTCATCGGCTTTTGGGATTGATGGATCGATTGAATGTACTCTCTTTATAATCCCAATGTTTTTATGCCTCAGTATACTCTACATATTTATTTTCAGTCTACATTTATCTTTGTTTCGAAATTCTTAAATTCAGTATTTTTTATTTTCATAATTGTTATTTTCCATGTGTTTTGTCAACCTCCCACTGAAGTTCAGTAGGTCGTTCTTAACCTCAGTGTGAATGGCTTTTTTCCATTGCTGCTTGATTCAGTCCATTGTTGGATTCCAACGGTAAAATTAACGATGAGTTTCGAAACTTGGCCAATGTTTCTTGCTACTTTATGTGTCCCACAGTAGTAGTCTAGGGCTTGATGAAAAAAGTGGGCAAGAAGTGGAAGGAAACATAAATTGTTTGGTATTTTATTTCACCTCGTGTTATTCACCGTTAGACAACGCATCTCAAACTTTTGCTTATAGGAATTATAAAGGTGATTGTGATGGTTAAGTTGTTAAATATATATCGATGATTACGAAGCAAATATTAGTTTTAATAATTACACTCGTCCTTCCTAGTGTTATCCGTCGTAAGCATCATTACATCCCACTAGCGGATCCAGGATTTAATTTTGGGGGGGAGGGGCTTCAGCCCGAAACCTTTTTTTTTCATAAAAATAACGATAATTAATTTGGAAAAACAGAAAGAAACTAACTACCTACATGAAATGGTGTTTAAGTTATTCCTTAAGTACTTTTAAATGTAATTACACGAACAATAATACATTAAGAAGTATTTTTTCAATTTTTTTTCCATAAAACATGGTTATATTTTTCCATTTTGGAGGGAACTTCAGCCCGAACGCCTCCCCCCCCCCGTAGATCCGCCCGTGTTACATCCTTTTATTTACTGTACAAACTGCCGAAACAATAACTTTGGAGTATTTATTAATACCATAATTTATTAATCTACACCACTGAACAGATATAATTAAATCTTAATAATTATGTGTTGAGTTACATCACACAATTTCATCTATACAGTCTTCAATAAAATTTGAAAAAATTAAAAGATTGAGATTCTACTTTTCAGCAACAATGTGTGTGTTACTAGCGTATTCCTTCCTTCTCAACAGTGACTAAGTCTAATTTTTTTTTATTAATTTAACTTATGTATGAAATTTACTTATGTATAACTGCTGTAACAGCTATCTTATTTCAGTTAAAATGTCATAATCGGTCCGCCATTTAAAGGGCAGAGGTATGCGATAACATTAAATCAGCAAAAGTGTATCTTTTAAATATCATTTTGCCTTTTCGTGTTTCTTGAGTATTTATAGACGTATATAATTTGTCGCCTACGCCATTTAAACATATCAGACTAATATATATTTATTAGTTCTGGGCCATAAAGTATTTACGTAACTGGTGCATACAGTTTATGCAACAATCTAATCTTAGGATGATCATGCAACTAATGCTCCCATCACTTGGCTCAGCTTTCTAATTGAAGTTTCATTCTGGCTCAAAGTATTATTAGAGCAATGAGATTACCTAATTCCATATTTATAATTATGTTTAAAAAGTAAGTGCTTATTTGTTTAATTATTTAAAATAATTTTTTGAGGTTGGAAATCGTTGAACACAAATATATTTTTTCACTTAGCTTCTCATTTAATTTGAAGCTAAATTTTTTTACATGAACATATATTTTTAAAATAGTTATAATTTGTTAATAAATTCTATAATTATATTAAAAAGTCAGTTCTAGTTTGATCAGTAATGTGACAGCTCATAAGGAATACTAGATTCAGGAATGTATGAATTTCTCACATCTGAAAGAAACAACCTCATGTTTTCGAATTATAGGAGGCACGTAGCAGGATACAGTTTGGGGACAATGTCACATCACATTAAGGTGACTTGTCTAGCGGGAATACTGTTCCACCGTTCTGTCAGAATCATTGTTTTTTTTAATTAAAAAAAAACAGAATTGAGAAATACATATTTTCGTGGAACGTTATTAATCGATAAAGATAATTGTCGAAGGAAAATATAAATTCTTAAAAAAAAAAAGTGTTTCTCTCCCTAATTACTTATGAATTAAGAGTATTCGCACTATATAGTCTGTTGGAGCTAGTGGATTCTCTCCTGACCCAAAATTTGATATATGGCTGATGTAACAGAATAAATAGTTGCCTCTCACAACCGGACCCGAACCCGTGACTGGAATAATGGAACAAACTGGCTTACTCACTGAGCTACTATACTTCTACTTATATTTAAAATTTATTTTTATTATTGGATGAGGCTCAACAAGGATTCGCAAAGTAGTAAAGTAGTGGTACCTAAAAAAAATAATTCTTTTAAGAAAATTAAAACTAAAAAAAAACCCGTCATACTGCTGCATTTTTATTAGATTTTAAATTTATGTTTTGTTGAGATATTAACTTCACAAAATAGTGGTGGTGGAAGAAAATTTAGAGACCCTATTTTCCCGTTTTTACATGAACCTTGCCGTTAGCATCGTTAGTTCAGAAATGTTTTCGAGCGAAATCGTGAGAGTACATAAAAAATATTTTTTTCTGTTCATGATTTGATGAGTGAGGTTACTAAAATAAATAGAAGCTAATCTCAGAGGGAGAGGTGTCGTTCGGGAGAATGGAGCTGATGGTCTGGCAAAAAAATTTGCAAACCTTATTCTGGCTTGATGCCTAGGTCGCCAAATTAAGGTCAGAATTCTACTATCAGATGAGCATTAAGGCTAAACATTTCCGGTTATCCCTAAAATATTTTGAGGGAGAAGCTGTAAAAAAACTAATTTCGGATGAGCAAATTTGATATTAAGATGAAAAAAAAACATTAAATAATTGGATCATTCCTTTGTTTTTACGACTTATTTAAAAATAATCCATATGATACAACAAAGATAGAATTTCTTAATGACCGGATTTAGAATAGAATAGAAGAATTAACTTTATTCTAGGACAAAGTCCCTTAAGAATAACAATTTTGTACATAAAAATTAACATACCAACTGGCCAAAATATATATTACAATAAAAAAATAACTAAAAACTATGTAATAACAGAAGTATTTACATAACTACATATTAAAGAAATAATATGAGCCAAGTCACAATACTGCAAAATATTTGCTACTAACAATAAACTATGGAATAATAAATGAAATTTGAAATGAACCATAAATTACTTGTGTTGTCATACCATTGAATTAATGAAAAAAAAAATGATAAAAGAGCAGATAAATATTTATTATAAATGATTTAAATCTGTACCTTAATGTGTTCAAATGAATACAATAATAGTATTGTAAACATTACAAAAGTGTTATATAATCTATATTCTAATATTGATCGGAGAAAATAAAAGATGATTCACGTATAGAGGAGTGCATTCAATATTAGTAATCAATTAAATACTGCACAAAGACTTAGAATCATATACATTGAAAAACTGACCAAAAAACAATTCTTAGCGAACGTGACTGGACATCTTTTCCATACTCAAAAAAGAATATATATTTATATACAAATGATACATAGAGAAAAATGCAATTTTGTTACATGATAAATGGCTACCCAGCTTCTGATTGAATCGTAAGGAGGAATTGGAATAAGAGGATTTTAAATATGGATAGGGATATAGAACATGGCGGATATAGAACCCATTATCTAAATAAAAGGATAAAGTTTTAATCTTCGAAACCACAATTTGTACTGTCCAGTCCTGGTATCAAAAGCAAGCAGAATATTCCCCAGGAATTCTTGTAATCCCATTGGCTTCAACATATAAATACCAACAACCCGAACGACTCGTGGACTCGAGTATATACAGAGCAACTATATTAATGAGAAGGCTGTTCCAACTGGTATCACTTCTTGGAATTATCGGGCAGAGCAAGTAGCTATCTGTGAGGCATCGAAACTGATAAGAATACTATACCTAAACACTAAAAAATTGTGTTCCTTACTGATACAGCGTCAGTATTACAATCATTCTTGTCGAAGTGGAGCAAAAGCCTGAGAAAACTTGCCACAAATCTTGAAGACTTGATGCCCCTTTACAAGAAAGTTGTCCTGCAATGGATCCCTGGACACTGTGGCATCTATAGAAACGAAAGGGCAGACCAGCTGGCAAAGGAGGGAACCTTCAGTCCGCAATTTGATTGTAAGATCAGCCTGGACGTGGTAAAAACAATCAATAAAGCTATTATTAACCAATGTTGGCTCAGAAGTCATCGACTTCACGACCCACGAAATGCTATCTAAGGACTGACTCGACGAGAGCAGCTCTTGATCTTATGCTTGCGGACGAGACACATCAGACTCAAAACATAATTGTTCAGTAAGTTCAAAATTTGCTCTAATTCCCTCTGCGAGTTCGGTGATGGTGAACAAAATGTAAAACCCATACTACAAACGTGCATGGTCTACTCCCAGCAAAAGAGAGTGATCTGACCCTCTTCAACTAAAATGGAAAGGATTTGTGAAATATACGGAAGCCTGGAGGACCTGAGGAGGACTGAACATATTAATAGTACTGTTAATTTTTAAATTATTTTTTTTTTAATCAATTGCACTTTTGGTTAATACTAGTATGGTTGTATGAAAAAATTAATTGAAACTGAAAGTAAATTTATTTCCAAATAATCTGTTGTTTTAATCACTTGAAAATTATCCAAATCGAGCTAAGTTAGATTTTTCCCTACCTAATGCCTTATGAGAAAAAAAAATATTATTTAGGAACATAAATATAAATTTAAAAATAAATGGATATTTACAAAATAGATGGAACGTTACAATCGCTGCACAACCTCTGGACTACATGTCCCTATTTAACTTACGTAGCGAATGAATAGTCTATATAAACATATAAAAACCATTTAAAGATACGGAGCATAACTTTAAGATTGAGAAAAACTCGTCCATACAAACAAAATGGAGACTAACTTTCCAAAATTATTAGAAAAATGCTAGCAAAACATGTTATATTTATTTGTCAAAACTTACTTAGATAGATGAATTTTCTAATTGACTAAATATTAGACTTTTGGAAAAAGTGTGATATCAGCAATATCATCGATAACTTATAAATATTCAAACAAATATCAATACCGCTTCCGAACTGTTCCCAACCCCTAGATATCTGGCTTGTTCACTTCAGAATACAGATGTCAATTCCGACCATCTATAAGACGTAGGTGAGGATATCTGGGTAGACTCTCCAGCATGTTATTGCGACATTAATGTTGGTATGTTTAAAAGACACAGTTCGATTTATAACACGATTATCTGAGTATTTCCTTAACTAAATGAGAGCAGTAAACTGTTCGATTTCACAAGGGTCTTACATGTCTTGGAAGCGGTGTAGAAGTTCCCGTTCGTAGGGCGAGAAACTGGTTCGTCGTTTCTTGCATAACTGCAGACATAAATAATCCAATATAAATGATAACTTTTTTTTTCATTTCTTCCGGATGGTCTTAAATTCATATTAAAAATACTTTAAGGTCGACGGTGATATTAAAACTATTTTAAATAAGATTGATAAATATTATGGGTTTTAAGTGCCTTATTATAAGACTGGATACAACATTATGAAAGTTTTGGTGATGAATAAGAGATCTTGAAAATTTAATCGTTAAACATTATATTATTGGATGTACTTTTAACATTTAAAATAAAATTAAATAATGATTAAAAATAAAATAAAAGTTCACCAGAAGACTAAAAAGACACAGTAAAATTAAAAGACCAGAACTCACCCGATACAATGGTCAATTATAAAAGGAGTCCCGTAAGTAGACGAAAATGTTTATAGAATTGATAGCAGACCTCATGAACTACAACATGTCACATAAACAATGGGCCAATTTTCAGCAGAGAAGTGGGAATTTCAAGTTTTGATTTTTTTTAAGTAAGCCATGTTTTTGGATGAATTAGAAGCGATAACTAAAGAAATATTTAATTTAAGTAGTTAATAATTGTTTCAATGTAAACTAGACAAAATTTGCTTGAAATCAAAATGGAGTTTGTTATTGTTAAAAACATTTAAAGAGGACTTTTGAGGGGTTAAACTGAGCTAAGTTCTATTTTTAAAAAAGTCCAAAATTATTCGCGATTTTTTTTTATCATACAACTACACTACAGATACCCTCCCACTTTAAAAAAAATCCTGATTAATAATCTTTAAGTTCGTATTAATTAAATTGAGGTTTATTACGCAAAAAATTGAGATACACCTCAAATTGTGTAAACAAATATATGATTTTTTATTATGTCACCTAAAAGTACCCATGTTTTCAGCAAAGATTACAACAATTAACGATTGCTAATCTAAATACAATACTGATACCCATCCAAAAGTACCTAAGGTTTTTAATTTAGGGCAACAGTGTTTTTTTTTTTTTTTAAATTATTATAATATGTCACTTTTAAATGGCAATAGAACAGGAAATATTCCTTGAATTTTAGTAAGAATTTCAGAGTCAGCTTTGTTATATTGGCTATTAACCGGATTTTTCTTTACTAATCTGTTTCGTAATTCAATAGGAGTTGTGAAAAACCACATTTAAAAATAAGAATATAATTTCTTAGTAATAAACATTCTTTCTCTCCCCCTCTCTCGTCTTATGGGTGGCTTATTATAAAAACGGACGTTAATCATTTTCAGAAAGCGGAGAAAAAGTCAATTTTTGTTTTATATGTTCAACTCAAACGGCTTCTGGTGGTTTTATTAAAAAATATTGAAATTGAATAATAAAAAAGTATAATTATTATTGGTTTAAATTGAAGCTATATTACAGAAAATTGGCCTTTCCTCTACTTTTTTTAACTGAACGATGTCCGTCTATGAAATAAACCACTCATATGTACATTTATAAGCACAGTTGAACCTCTCTAGAAAGGAGTTATCTGAAAGACAGTATTACTTGAACTAAAGTCTGAATGCTTGCCTGTAACTAAATAGGAGTAGATTTTATCTGAAACATTACATTCTCCGTTGTATATTACTACAAATGAGAAACCGCATGATATTCAACAATCCCAAAGGGAAAAGGAAATCATTTCATATCTTAGAATTCTTCGATTTGTACAATTTTATATGCATTGAAAGTTTGTGATATTTGACATCTTATAAAAATAAAATAAAATATGGGGCAGGGTGGCCGAGCGGGCTAATGCATTTTGTAAAACACATGTTACCTTGGTAACCTGATGATAAACCAAAGGTTATGAGTTCAAATTCTGTCGCCAGTTGGACTCCTAACACTCCATAAAAGGCGAGGAAGGAGAGAGAGAGAGAGAGAGAGAGAGAGAGAGAGAGAAAAAGGAATCTTACAAAATAATCACAATTATTTTTCAGAAATAATAGAAGTTTATAAGGAAGTATTTTAGGAATACATTTTCCAGCTACTAAGTACCTTCAGAATTAATCAATTTGTGGAAATAGGAATCGTAAAACAAATTGAGACGAAACGAAACTTGCATCTGCTTCGTTATGCAAACGACAGAGACCGGTTCACGAAATCAAAACTTCAGTTAAACCTAACTGTAGAGGTGCCACAATATATATTCACGCCTGTCATTAAGTACCGTTAGTTCATATATTTCATCTCGCAAATCATTACGTCATTTTTTTTTAATGACTAAAGATGACTAATTTTATGTAGTAAGGTATTATGACAATTATTTTGTAATTCGTCTATTGGTCAACATAGGCGAAGAAGAATACTCAGGTTTTACAATAGCCATATCGAATTAAATTTAAACTATTAAAACAACTCTTATGCCCCAGTGAAATAATAGTTTATCTTTATTATAAATCATACTCTACCACGACTGTTAAAGTAACAATTTATTTAATTTAAAGTAACAATTTATTTCACATTGTCTTTGACCAGCCCTGATGAAGGCCTGAATTTTGGGTCGGAACGTCGGCAAAAATAAAAATAAATATGCTTAGTTATTTTTACTTTTTTTTTGTAATGATTAACCCAACCATTCTTCTCTTAAATTTATTTAATAAGTAATTAGCTTGTCCTACTGAAAAACATCCCTCTAGTTACATAGTTAAGCAACAAGACACAACTAACCTTGAACTTATAATAATCCATTATTGTACTAGTTCGAAACCAACTTTTTTAAAGTGAAAACTTCTTTAGGTGAGTTTTGAACTTTTTTTGTAGAGTGTGAATTAGATTGAGCCGTGATTCTGATGTGTAACGCTCGAGTAAAGTCCGTTAATTAAAGTGATTTTGCATATACATTACAATATCTCAAAAACGAAAGAAGTATTCGTAATTTCATCTTCTTTGTAATGAGGTATTGTTAAAAGTTGTATCTTAACGTGACAGCGTGTTAGAGAGGGGAAAAGGAAAACAAATAGTTTCGAAAACCAAATGATAACTAGTTTTATTGAAGATATGGAGTAAAATATCTCAGAAAATAAAAATTGGACCTGCATACTGTAAGTGAGGGGAATGTTCAGATTTCCATAGTATCTGTAATGGGCTATTATTTATAATTTATATTTATATTTCATGTTTTGGGAATTTTTTCGCCGTTTTATTGTAAAAAACGCTCTCACTCTATTTTGTGTTTCTTTTCTTCAATAAATATTATTTAAATTTTTATTTTATTTCTTTCCCTCTTTTTTTCATGACTCACCCCTATCTTCATTGAGCTGGAGGCAAATTTAAAGCTTAGAGGTAACAGTGTAGATTAATTAAAAAATCCATTTTTACTTAGAGATAGATATCAAATTTGAGAACATGCAAGATATATGCCTAGTTAAAAATTTAGAGAAATTCACTAACCATACCTACTAATCTCATAATCATACAACAAATAAATTAAAGAAAACCAAATCAAATATATCTTATCCTAATCTCCACACTAACAAATTATAGAACCTATCGCATATATTTAGCTTTACAATCTAATAAAGTCATCCATGTTTGATTTAATTAATGATTAAGATATTTACTATTAGCTCGTATAACTAACGGTGCTATAAACCAAGGTAGTATTTCCTTAAGTCCACTTTCCTTAGTATCTCCAATTAATGTACCTGCCAATTACAGATAGGCGAATGGTTTATTACAAGTGCCTATTGATTCTACTTTCGTGAAAAACAAATAATTAAAAATCGAATCACCGGTTATATATTAATTAAAACAAATCAAATTAAAAAAATATGAAACCCAGAATTACCTAGTTTATAACTAGATTTATTATTTTAAATTTTAATCAATGTAAGAAAAGAATTTTGTAAGAAAATTAACGAAAATATCTTTAAGATGCAGATCGTAAAATATGTTTATAATGAAAATGTGTTATCTTTTAAATGAGTCCTTTATTTCCATAAGGAACCCCAATCTTCGTTGACAAATTTGTATTGACAAATTTTGCTCCAATATTTAATATATTTATCTGTAATTCATAGATTACTGAACAAAATATAGAAATTTATATAATTTTAAGTTTTTATTATTATTTTTTTATTTATTTTATATTTTTCCTCTTCTAAGGAGCTTTTAAACTCCAAAGAGCAAAATGACCAATAGGCGTTGATCAATAGAGTTTTACGCCATGATGCCCAAATAAACAGACAGTATACGTAATACGTAATATCAAAACTAATATTTTTTGGAAAAATATATTAAGCAATTCTTTATTTTGCCTATTATAATTATTAATTTATTATATTTCCGAAAATCATTGATTATGTAATGTTTATGGATTTTTTTTTTAAATATCAAACGGGCAATAATGTTTCATTTGTTTCTATTTTTTATAAGTAACTAATACATATAGAAACGAATGAAACTTTAGGACCCGTTTCGAAATAAAAAAGGAAAGAAAGATATTACTTCGAAAACTCTTAGTACTGTCTTAAAAAATTAAAACAATGGTAATGATAATTCAAGAAATAATAAATAATTATTATTTAAAGCTTTACTATAAATCTGGATTATTTGTTTATTTTTACTGGATTATTTGTTTATTTATAAATATTAAAATCTGTCTCAATAAAGGACATTTATAATAGAGTTCTGAGAGCACATTCACACCATATTTACAAATTCCAAAAAAAAAAAAAAAAAAAATAAGCTAATTTCAAATAATATAAAGCTAAAAAAGAACAAAATAAAATATCATTGTGAAGGAAGAAAATATAAATAATAGTAATAATAGAATACAAATAAATGAATAAATATTTTTTTTTTATCTATTTATTGAATAATAATACAATCAGCCACTGCTGGAGGGCTATAAGTATTAGGGATAAGAGTTCTTAAAAATGAATAAAATAGAATTAAAATTATCATTTAAAAAAAATAATGAAAATAAACATCTTAGATGCTGGCAAACCTATTTACAGTCGGCCATGGGAACTCCAAACCATACTTATCCC